AAACTCTTATTTTCTGTATTTATCTTTTCATCATCTTTTATTCTTTAAGCAGTTTGTAACCTAGTCAGGTGGATACACCAGTCATTGACAGGCAATGACTGATAGGTCCACAAGTCAAGTGATCATTTTACAGGGTCAGAAGCAGAAGATTCTTCTCTACAGTTTTCTGCTCTTCAGGTACTATGCAGCTGAAGATTTGTTTCACATTAACATCTGTTAACACCCAGAAATTTCCTCCTATCTTTTTGAGTAGCCAAACAGCAGCCTTATCAAAGCAATCTAATATGGCTTAAGTGCCACTAGTTGGCATTTTGTGTTCTTTTATTGCTTTCAATTTTTATCTACATAGAAAAATTGTTGATAACTAATATCCAGTTGATCTTTTCATTCTGGTAATAAAATGATAATACAAAGATCTTATTGTCTACCCCAGACATCCATCAAAGTACATTTTCTAATAACATACTGCTCCGAGTTTTTCTTATCTCTCTCCAAGTCAAAAGTGATGTTAAGTACTTTCCCTTGGATTCCCTTTTGTCTCTAATACTTGGGCACTGAACTGGGAAAGGAATTTGAACTTGAACTTTTAACATTTTGTCCACATGACTACCATCTGAAATTTTGTTGTTTATGCATCTTAAATCACTTTCTGTGAGAAGCCAAATGAGTTGGAATTTCTGCTTCCTAAAGTAATTGTTTTAATCCCAGAGAGTTTTTATTCATGTAAGACAACAAGAGGAAAGAGAATAGGAGAGAGCAACATCAGAAATGGAAAAAGAAGCAGAGTGAACTTGGTAGGAAAAAGAAAGGGCAGCTGGGCAAGAGAAGAGGTCAATGTGCAAAGCCTAAAGAAAGTCAAATGATACAAACAAGAAAGGCAGCCCCAGAGATCATGAATTTATTAAAACCCATTGTTACATAGAAGTGTCCTCCTATTCTTCTGTAGTCAAGAAGGTCATTCTACAATTAGATGACTAGTTTGAAAAAAAAAATGTATAGAGAAACAATAACAAACAGAACACAAAAGCCTCCCTGTGTCAACTACATGACCAAAGCAATTACTCATATGGCCACCTATAATTAGAAGAACAAGTTTAGCCTTCAAATTTCCAATGTGTTTAAACTTTCAAAGATTATAGAACTAACAATTTTAAGATTATTAGAAGAAAGACAAATATTGGGACTATTTAGTGAAGTAATATACCACTTCACAGACCAAATTTTCAGAAAAAAAACATAGAGAAAGGCACAGAAAGATTTGAGTGCATTGGTTGGAATTACTGGGTATTGGATTTGAAATTGAAACTCAGAGAGTTACTATGACATTCGGCTATGTGTTTTGCCAAACAAAAGTAATATACAATAAGACCAGTCTCCTAAATAGAGCCTAGTAATGTATCTGAGAAAAGTTCACAAGGAATAGAAAATCCCTTTCTCATTTTTCTGTTGTTTCAAAGGACTTGTTCAATTACTTAATATATTGGCACCAAGTAAGAGACTGCCAAGCACTCACCTTTTCATGAAAATGATTCATGTGTTAAAAAGTACTTAATTTAGTTCAACTTGTCTTCTTTTGATAATAGTTTGCAAATATTTAATTTGTACAGTATAGATTTTTATGATAAATTTTTGTCAAATGGTCAATTTTTAAGTAATTCAAATAATTGTCCTTCTTTATGTTAAAAGAATGTGATTTTATAATCCTTTCACTTCTACCTTTATTAAAATATCCTTAACTTTAGTAAAAATAACTAAAAGATGATGGTTCTTTTAAGAAACTGCAATATGAAATTACTGAATCACCACAACCTGTTATTCTTAATATAGAAGGAGATGTTGAGCACAGGGTAATCTGACTGTTCCTTTATTCTCATCCAGAACAGGACAGTAGAGAGCCATAGATAATATGTTCACCTTTGAGGCCATGAATTTACAAAAACTGATCTAAATCTAATTCCAAGTTGCAAATTACAAACACATTTTAACAATGATATATACTAAGGTATATCAGTGAACTGAGATTGGTCTGAGATTGTATGTAGACATATCCCCTTTGTGATCTGAAAGATCAAAACATTAATTTTGACACTGCCATGCCCACTAACCATAGAGATGGCTCTTTAAAAAAATACTATATCCACTCGTGAAAGTAAGCTTTTGACTTTTAAATGAAAAGAGGCTCTCTTCTTTCATTTAAAGATACTTGACAGCTTTTTCTTTAAGGGGAATAAATGATGGTAGCAAGAAATCTGACAGACAGTCCTCAGAGTTCAAATCTGTCATATCTCAGAGGAACCTTAACTAAGTGCTGTGCCCTAACCTGTCCATGGAAGATTCCATACTGCATCTAAACTAGTGACATGGGAACAGTGGAGAAACAGATCTGACATCTCTTATACTCCTACAGGTTTGAATACACAGTCTCATCTTCTCTCCTCACCCATTAATTCTTCAACAGCAAAATTTGGAAAATATGATACTATATGTATTTTCTTTTCCATATAAAGTACAGATGCTGTAAACCTAGGAGAGGGAGCATGTGGAAGGAGAACATGACTATAGAAACTGCTAAGGAATTTTAAGTAAATGCAGAGAAATTTGTCTTAAATTTAATAATTTAAAATTTAATATTAGTTCTCAACATAAGATAATCTTTATGTTATCCTTCATGTATTTCTTGTGGCAGTTTTCTTAAAATACATCAATTGAAGTACTTCACAATAATCTTACAATACTGTTGATACTAAGGATATGGTATAATTTTTAGACACAAAGGTGTTCTGTAGCTGTGATTTAATACATGTACATTAATCTTTCCAGTTTCTGACAAGCCTATGGCACACTGAGGATCCATATAATAAATCACTCTTTCATTAAACTGAATTAGATGGAGATACAGATATTTCTAATTTATTTCACTCCAGGTGGAAATTTCTGTTCATTTAATAACTGTGAGTTAGGTTCACTTATTTGATATGCAAATTCTTAACTTTCCTCAATGTTGAGTCTTCTTTATAAAATTTGAGTTTCCTACAATATCTGCATATTATTCTCCAAATAAAACAAAGTCAAAAGGAAATGAAAACATTACCTCGTCATTGAATGTTCTTTCCAGTGACTGCTGTCAAATTGCAGTCCTGTCCAAGGTATGCACTGAAAGCTCACAATTATTCATTTAATTCAAGTATTAAAATGTAACACATACGCTTCAAAGGGGAAATTTTTCACTAACCAGCAAAAACCTGTGGCTTCAAAGTTAATGTTCTATGGAATATCCAGACGTGTGGGGAGGAGTATTATCTTTAACACCAAAGTTTCATATTAGTCAGATGAGGACTGAAGTCTAACATAGGTCATTTTACTATTCTATGTTTATTATATACTTTTTAAAATATGTGTTCAAGTAGTTGATGTAGCTAGAACAAAGAATTGCATTTGATTTAGTTGGTTTTCCAACTGTTAGAGCTTATTGAATTATACTATAAATTTAAAAGTCAGTGTTTTATTGTATTGAATATATAAGGTACAGGTCTATAAAGAGATATTTTTTCCCACAAATATTTTGCAGAATTCAAGAAGTCTCAAGCACAAATCCGACTTTGGGAGAGAGTATTTTGTGAGCTGCACTTTGCCTTTCGGACCCAGAGTGGAAAGCAAGCTGGATCCTGGTATTAGACTTGCAAAATGTGTCTGCCTTTTCAACAAAGTGTAGCAGAGAGCAGAACGGAGATGAGGTGATGCATACTTTACAAATTCCATTTGTGCGGGAGCTTTGAGAGGTTACATTTTAGGAACTATTTTGTTTGAAATGACTTTTTAATGCTTGACATGTTAGTTCTAGTTTGTCATTAAAATTTTTAATATCATGATCAAGTTAGCATCTAATGGCTGTGATTGGACAAACTCACCTTTATGCTACTTTAAAAATATTACCATATGTGAATACAAGCATTAGTTGTATGAATACAAATATGAGCATTTGAAATCATATGTATTTTATTAGAAAAGTTGCCTTGCTTTTGCAATTTTATGACCAATCACCATTTTGTTTCTGAGACTGGCTTATTGCCATTTGGAAATACAGCAAAACATTTGGGAAATAAACTCCATCCACTCACATTCAGCTTTCTTCCAAGGACAGAGAACAAAGTTTTGCTATGACAATTAGAGATTAGAAGTTTATTAGAACCATTTTATTAAATAGCTAATGACTTTGTGACCATTGGAGGAGCTTTCATTATGTGGTCAGCAAAACCTGGAAAAGAAAAATCTAAACATTGATATAAAGAAATAAGATAAATTTAATCTTCAGATAATGCTATAACCAAAAATAAAATCACAGTCCTTATATCCTTTCTGATCTCTAGTCCAAACAAAACTCAGTCCATGCATCTTTCATGACTTATCATTTGGCATGCATACCACAGAATTGAAGGGTCTTGGTTATATTTGCAGATACATAATTAGGATGTAAAAATTCATCATGTAAGTATCTTAATGATCGAGGATGAGCTCATTAGACCAATTGTTTTCTAGAAACATATAACTTGGAAAGAACTTTGGCTATGTTTAGAAGGATTTACTAGTAACTCTCAAAGTGAGAGAAGTTAATTATTTGTTTTCTATAGTTGAATGAAAAGAAAAACAGAAGGAACTAAGACCCACTGTATTTTCTCCTAATTTATTATGAAAGGAACTATGGGAGTTCAAAATCTGGAAAAATACAAATGGATCATCCAAAGGTCTATATACCTGTTTGTACCTTCTGTTACAAAATACTTGCCACCTCTTTTCCCACATAGAAATAAGAACTGTAGTGGGAAACCTCCTTCAGTTATGCAAATTTCAAAATGAATTTTTACAACCCAGATGATGGACTGGTATACTTCAAAAGTGAGATCATGAGTTTTATAAATACATTTTCTCTTGCTCTTTCTCCTTTGACTAGTTTACATCATAATGGAGGAATAACATTTTAAAAATTTTGAATAGGCACTTACTGGAATTACAGTTAATCCTGATACAATCTAGATGGGGAAGAATAGATGAAAAATGAAAATTTATCCTTCAAGGTAATAGCTGCAGACATCCAATAAAATCACAGTCCACCCTTCCGGGGACAGACACATGCAAATATGGCCACTCCATATCATTATTCTTTATATACTTCTAGAACCCAGATTATTGTTATAAAACTGTGCCACTGGAACAACAATAGAATGTTTTTTAAAATGGCCAATTCAAACAAAGCTACATGGTGACAAATCTAAGTGAAATAAAGAGTAGTTAACTGTCAAAGATGCTTAACTTAGACTGGCCGCAACTTTCTCCCCATCTGTGAAAGAACATATCATTGTTTTCAGAAAAATTAAAAAGTGCTCCGTCACAATGGGGTACAGTGCAAGCTCAGCTAGGCTCAGACATCTTGGACCTCCAAAATCTAATATCCCACAAAGGCTAACAAAATCTTTCAGAATTGCAGTGGTCAAATGGAGAACAGGTTAAAATTATTTTCACTTTTCCCTAATGCTTCATATTTAAATTTTTTTATTTGTCTGGGCACAAAGAGGCTGCAGCCAGATGCTGGCAGGATTCTATATCTTGAAATAATTGGAGGAGAAAACAAACAACTGGATGTACTCTTTAAAAACTACAGTGATTAATGAGTAGCCATTCTTCAGAGTACACAAGTCTATGCCTCTCTCAGGAGCTACCAGTGTTATTTCTATGCAATAACTGTCATGGTTGACACTACTATCGATTTTCCCTTTTGTATACTTGCTTCACATGAAAGCAGATACTAAAAGAGCAGTATATCTGTTGTGGATAACACAGACTATGATTGCAGTGGTTATTTTTAAAGAACTACCTGGGATGTTTTGTGTCTATTTTATATATAGATATGTACTTGTTGGCTTTCATTTTAGTATTTAATGCCTTTGGGGAACATGAAAAATATAAACCTAGATTCTGTTTCCATATAGCTGAGTTTGTCATGTGTCGTCAACCGCATCAGAAAAGTGGTTGCAAACAGCCAAGGACCAGCACCTACAAAACTCTTTCTACAGAATGCTTTGCTGTTGAAAAATTCCCATGAATTTCACTTGGACTAGCAGCCTCTAACTGGAATTTGGGCAATTTGATTGCCTTGTAGTAACCTATCATTGTCACTAGAGGGAACTCTAACAGAATAGTAAGTAACAGTATTTTTTTAAAAAAACAAAACTTTATTATGTAACTTAATTGCCTAGTGTTAGCTGAATATAATTACATGCAATAAGCTACCAATGGTTTAATTTTATATTTTGAGCTAGCGTTCTGCCCAGCACAATTTGAAAACATAGGTGGGGTTGCCACAAATCTTTATTTATGTCAACATGTTTTCTAGTCTTTATATATATATATATATATATATATATACATCTACATAGTTTCAAATTTTATTTTTCTTCCTCTATTTATTCACTGCTGTGTGTGCTTACCACTTTCATGACCTTACAGTAAAACCTCATTCATTTTTACTCCTCTTATTTGGAGTTAATGATAATATTGAACTTATTGGGCAGAATATTAAATACTCACTTGGTATGTATAGAAACCTCCCAAGGAAAATTAAAACAAAAACAATCAAGATAAATAAAAATGATTTTAAATGCCAAGTTCAGGTAGGAAACGGATTTCAAATAGCTTACTATGAGTTCATGGCACAATTCATATGAAATAATGTGTAAATTAGGGATCATTCTTATATATCCATTAAAATCAGTCTATGAAGCCCTTCTTGACAAGAGTTTTCCAACTATTAATTTGTTTTTGAATATAATTGAAAAAAACTGCTTAAATTTTTGAAATCTACAATTCAAGCTTCTTCTTAATTCGTCCTGCATTTCCCCCATAGTTCATTCAGATTGGTGAGGTTTTACTGCAGTGACTCTTTTTTAAAGCTGCACTGAAGCAGGAAAGCATTATCTTTCTGTAGAAGAGCCTGTGTCCTCAGTGTTCTCATGGCTGTTTGCTGAGGGCCGCAGACTTTGGGCATTGAAGGGTTGTGGATTGTTGTTTGATAGCAAAATATCACCACACAGTACTTCAAAACTGAAAGGATGGAAGACCACAAAGGTGACTATTCAAAGAGAAGCCCATGCAAGAGAGTAGGAACAATTACCGATCTAGTTAACAAGCAGAAATTTGATACTTTGTATGTATATGATCTAAATAAAAGTAGGTATTTTTATGCAGAGCTCTCATACATAACCAAGCAGACATATAGTAAATATAACAGCAGGATATTCATTCGAGGCATCTTTAAGCCTCATATAATTTATATTTTCAATTCACCTCACTGATAGATACGGCTTCCCTTTTAAGAACCTTCAGTGGTAGGAGTCACAAAACAGTAAGCTATGTTAAACATAACACAAAGAAAAAGATGCTACCCCAAAACCTAAATTAATTTAAATAATGGAAATAAGACCATTAAGCATTTTAACTTTCCATGGCAAACAGGCTACTTGAAAAATGCTTGCAGGCAAAACTGAACAGAAAGTGAAGAGTGTTAGTTCAATGGTGGAAGGCAAGTTGTTACCTAGATTGACCGTCAGTTTCACGCGCCCTGCATCCAGCTCCAGCCGGAGGGTGTCTGCAGAATCTCTAGATGTGGTTGCCATTAAAATGCCATATGCGCGCTGGGATCGGAACCGTAAGGATACATCCTCAGCCTCAGTGTGCATCACCACTGGGAGTTGAATTTTCATAAACATACTCCCATCATAACTCAAAACCGTTGCCTCTATGGATGGAAAACACAGTATGTTCTTTGTCAGTGCCGTGCATTTGTACTTTGAAAAGGGCAATCTACTAACAGATTCTAGACAGGACAGACGCCTACAGAATCAGATCATCTACTTCAGAAATGAAATTTTTATATTATTTTTGTTAACATATTATGAGATGTACAAAGTGTGAAGTTTTATTGTGATATTTCCAGACATGCATTCAATATACTTCAAATGACATCCCCTCTATTACTCTTTCTTATCCCCTCTCCTCTAACACTACCTTTTTAATTTTCTTGTAATTTTTTAAATGGGTTTCATTATGACCTTTTTGCACATGCATGCAGAGTATTCAGTCATATTCATATTCTCCCATGTTTGCTTTCCTTTTACCTTCTTCCCACCTCCTGCTACTCTCCCTCTCCTACAACAGTCCTACTTAAATATTTATGTCTTTTTTTCAGAAATAAGGTTTTTTTTTTTTTTTTAGTGGAAAGAGAAGTCACAGTAAAAAGAACTTCCTTTATGAAGTGTGTGCTAAAAGCCAGGAACAACAATGGCAGTAACCCATATCTCTTTCCACCTACAGCATTAAGCACATGGGGATATGAGAGTTCTCTATGCACCTTCCTTCTCAAGAGCAGAGATCCTGTTCTTTTTGTATAGCTATAGTGGGAACCTGGTTGGAAACACCAACAACTATGTAATGCTTGTTTATGGACAGTGAGGCCACTGAGTAGCTCTGTAAAACTGGTCAACCTTGCTTTGCCTTGGCTCTGATTTTTTTATTTTAGATTGCACCAGCATCCAGTCTTTTTTTTTTTATTATTCATATGTGCATACAATGCTTGGGTCATTTCTCCCCCATCCCTCCACCCCCTCCCTTACCACCCACCCTGCCTCCTCCCTCTCTCCCCCCAATACCCAGCAGAAACTATTTTGCCCTTATCTCTAATTTTGTTGAAGAGAGAGTATAAGCAATAATAGGAAGGAACAAGGGTTTTTGCTAGTTGAGATAAGGATTGGGCACTGACTCTTCATCTGCAAAATGAGAAGGAAGATCTCTAAGCCCTGGCCTGCCTGAAAAATCGTTGGTTCTAAGAGAAGCTACTACCAACACTTTTTCAGTCTCCACCCTAAAAAAAAAAAAAAGAATAGAAATAATAATATAATTATTATAACAATTTTAATATAATTTCTAATAATAATAAAAATGATGGCATAAATATAAAATTAAGGCAACACTTTACCAAGGATAGTGTTTAAGAAAAGAACAGAAAAATTGACAGTGTATTAACAAACAGCAATTGATGCTTCCTCAGAACCATGATGTTTAACAAGGTATATTTTTTTTAAAAAGCACAAACAATAACTTTAAGGTTTCTTTACATTACAGATAAGGAGTAATTTAAAACACTATCTATAAGCACAATCCTGGCATCCTGAAAATATTAAATGATCATTAAAATGTCAATAACTATGTATCTTGGTTATAGTGAATAAGATTGAGGTAGGTACCTAGGAGCTTGTGCGGGTGTGTGTTACTAAAATAAGGTAGATTATGCTTATAAGGAAGTGCCCAGTACCATGTTAAACACATAAAGAAGTGAATTGTAAAAATTGATGACAAATTGCTTTGAGAAATTGTCAGCACCCTCAGTGTTAAACACCATATGGTAGTGGAACATTGCAAACTAGGTGTGAGTCATTTTGCTTTCTTATTGGTTCTGGTACAGCTACTTGGAATTAAAATAAACCAGGAAGTTCTCATTATTTTGGCTATTTACACAGTATAGCAATTAATTTTACTCGTACAACTGTGCTCATTATTAAGAGTATGTTCTGGAGTTGTGTGCAAAAGCAGGTTTATCTTTCAGAAATTCAAGGTCAAGTACTGTTCTGAAGAGGCTTTAATCATTATTTGTTGTCATTATGGGACTGAATCTGCATCCAGAATCTATACTATATGCATTCCAAGTCTCCCTCCTTCACTGACTTTTCTTTTCCGTCTCTTTTTTTATTTTAATTTTATCATTTTTACATTTACTTACATGTTTATACATTATTTGAGCCACCTCCACCCACCCCCTTCCCCCAAACACATACAACACTTCTGGGCACATCTATCTATTGATCTAAGAGATCTCCATTGATTCACAGACTACTTGCTCTAATGCTTGCTAACAGTGCTGACTTCTGTACCCATTGTCTATTTGGAAAAATGTTAGACACCTCACTATACTTTAACACACTCTCCCCCACAACAATAACAACAACAAAAAAACTCACAACATGCTTCTTCACTCCTCTCCATCTGAGTAAATAGTATAACCCCACTGCTCAGACCAAAACCTTCTGGATTTCTCTCTTACTTTCTCAGCCACATCCAATCCATTTGCAAATCTACAAATCTTATAGGCTCAATTCTAATCCCTTTTCTCAGTTGACTGTTTCTTACCTTTAGGGCTAAGTATCTCGGACTCTGCTCCCATCTCTCACCTAGACCTACACTACAACAAATGTGTTGTCTCTACATCTATTCTTTCTTCTACACACCTCAACCAAGTTAAACACTTCTTACAGACCTAAATCCTACTAGATCACTCTACTACTTGAACCACAACACTACCTAGGAATTTTCTATTGCAATTAGAATAAAATCTGTCCTCATTTTTTTAGACAGACTTAAGAAAGGTGTTTATTTATCAAAATAGGGGCCCCACAGGCAGGCATTGACTTAGTCAGTGAGAAAATAAAATATGATCTTCTTTAAATATAGTGAATCTATATCATGTCAGAGATTTTTCCAATTTATAAGAAGTTTCTCCAATGGGAGCAATGTTGAAAGGACAGGAGTCATCTTATATTCTTCCATGAAAAGCAGCTTAATTTGAAAACTGTGCATGGGTGGGGGAGTGCATCCTTTTAGAAATACAGATGGTTGAAAGTCATCAATATAGTGTGAAATACAATCCAGAGTAGAGAAATAATATCATTGGCCTTTATCACTATCCAAAAAGCTGCAGGAATGAAATGACATAGTGAAGTAATAAAACTTGAGAGCCCCTGAGTACCATTTTAAACAATTCTCAATGTGAAAACAACCTGTTGACAAATGACAATTGAAAATCCTAAATAATTCCTCATAACTAGAGTTAACATTTAATTAGACAACAAATGGAAAATGCACACGGCTGTAGTCCAGAGTAGCCAAATAAATGCTAGGTAACATTCTGACATTTGCAGGTATGCTACTTGGCAGTGTACTTTAACATTTGTAAAATTATTTTATCACTTCGAACATAAAAAGAGTCCTTTAAGAGGCTAATTTCAGTATAATACTTCCCAGTGAGGGAGAAAAACAGTTTCAACTTTGTCTTCTGTATCTCCTTCTCCCTTGTCATTAAGTTTGATAAATTTGCTTTTCGGTATTATTTCTTGTTGAAGTCTAAAGTGTACACCTGTGCTCAGCTTTGCCGAAAGGCAGTCACATATTGTGATCAATGATGAAAATCAGACAGAAAGCCAAATTATATTGCTCTGACATCTGTCCCTCCATCTGTTAGAGTTTTAACAAACTAGTATAAAGTAGACCTCTGATTGCACCAATGCTCCTATTTGACATATTACTGAAAATAATATCTAGATGATCAAGTCTACAAAAAACTTTTATTGAAAATATAGCAGGAGGAAAAGTACTAAATTTAATTTATATCCATTGAAAATTATTTCTGTATTATTCTTTCTTGCAAGATCTATGCTCAGAGAACAAAATATTTTTCTTTCTGCCTGTTAGCAAATATGTTCTGTTTCCTGGTAAACTCCTTTGCTTCCTAAAATGCAAGATGAAAATTCCTTATCATTGCAACATCATCCTCCATGCTGCAGTGTCCAAGGGTTTCAGCATGGTTTCTAATTACTGTGAATAATCATCTCCATAAATTATCAATTGTTCCTCTCTGACAATGAAACAGGAAGTCTCTAAGTGCTGTTTTATTTTTTTTCATTTTATTTCAAGAGTTGTCAATCAACTCTTATGAGATCAACAGCCCTATCTGATCAGAGTGTACCTGGAGAAGAAACACAGTCAGAGCCCTTTCGTTTGATTGGAAACTCAAGAGGTTCAGGCATGATCTTGCATTTGTTGAAAGAGGGCATAACTGGGAACTGGATGGAAGCCAAATTCTCTGGTATTGAGTATGACAACCATCCCACATCTCCCTTGCTCTTAGGAGGTACCACAATGTGAGTTAAGAAAATTAATTCTAAAAAGCAAATACTTCTCACAATATGCTGGTGTGGTCCAGAAACAAGAACCACACAAAAATGACCATTTTATCCTCAACAAACAACCAACCAGGAGACAAAGAAATCTGCAGAAAGTTCTAGTCACCAGTGAGATAAAAATGTATGCTAAATCCCAGTGATGAAATTTGCTATTAAATTCTCATTTGCAAATCTGCATATGCTTGCCAGCTCTCCTTCTAATTATTGCAATATATAAATACTTCCTTTCCCCCATTCTGGCTCAGAAAGCTCTAAAATTTCTATTTTTATTTTTGCCATATGTAGTAGCAGAATATTGCCACAGGGTGGTACAACATGCATATTTAACTGAAGGCTTTTGTGATTCCTGTGACAGTTGCTTCACACACATTCCAGCTTCACTTAACCAGGAGGCAACAGGGTAACTGGCAGCTTTCAGAGTGATTAAAATTAAAACAAAACTTTAAATCATGCAGGTCTGCTAATCTCATAGTATGCCTAATTTGTGAGCTTTGTTACTTTTTCTTTTCTTTTGGTAATTTCCCCCAAACCAAACTAAAAACAAATTAGGAAGTAAAATGCAAAGAAGAAATAAAGAATGTTGCAAACTACACAGAAATAGCTAAGCTGAAATGAAAATTCACAGGAATCACAATTAAGTATATCATAAAGACAGTGACTATATCTACGTGATAAAGTACTTACCAATCTGTTGACATTGCTCAGAATAGTAATAGCATTTTGGTAGGTGATTTAAAGTATTGTTACATTATTAATTTATTAACTATTATAATTATTAATTTTAATAATAGAACTAATAAGCTGATGTGCTTCCTTATTAAGATAAATAATCAAAACCATTTCAGTTTTGGGTTTTCCAAAATACCTTCCTTTTCCTTTTGAAACTTTAGGTTACATGAATTGAAGTATTTCAGGAATGAAGAAAAACAAATAACTACATGTGCATGGCTTTATAAAAGATGTCAGGTACTGTTTAGGCTAAATATCTAAGAGTGGAATGTCATTTGTACTATGAAAGGACAACGGAACAACTCATCAATATTTTTTCACATTGATTTTCAGTTCCATTATAGAAAATAAGTGACAGTGGACATAGTGACTAAAGCATTTATCTGGACACAGGGTCGATGGCAGGACACGCTTGGAACTATTTGTTCTGTGGTTTCTTCTGCTATCCTGTTTTGCAGATGAGCAGGTACCCTTCAGACTCCCTTTAACCCTTGTCCCACCACTTCTAAGAGTAGAAAAAAAGTAGCTCTGTCTCCTGCTAGAGGAGAGGGAGGCAGATATCCAAAAGATACAACTGTGCCTTAAAATCAAATAAATAAAGGACTCTTATATGATTGGTGAAATGAGGATACTCTTCTGAAAGTGCTGGTGTAACTCAGAGGATTTAAAGTCAGTGTACTTTTCAGAGATGATATCGCTTCTTGAGTAAGCTGATGATGTGAAATGCTCAGGCTAACTTAAGTCTCATCCAGTAGTGTCAGGGAAGCGGCAATTTATAGCTTAGTTTGCCTTAAATGCTATTCCTTGGCATTTATTTGCACTGGAGACCTTACATATGTCTAGTTCATGCCTTTTTTAATTGTCTAATGTCCTGAAGTTAAAATCTAGGCAACAGAGACAGCAGTCATCATCCTTTATGCATCTTAGGCTTGTGCCCTAGAAGTTTCTAAAGACCCATATTTTTATCCTTGCAATATACTTAAAGACCTGTGTCTTTCCAGATTTGTGCCTTTTGAAAATCATTAAAGGCCTATCAGTAATCCATGTGAAGTCTGGGGGTTTAGCCTGCAGAGCTGACTTCACTAGAGTTTATGTTAAATTTCAGTGGTCAGTTCAGGTTCAAGGTCAACATTTAATATACTTTTCTTCTGGGGGAGGTAGCTGCTAGGTTTTTGAAATCCTACCTCTCTCACAGGACCTGCCAAGATAGCCTGTTCCGGAGCAGTCACAGACATATCTGTTCCACCCATCTCTGCACATGCCATTATTTTTGCAAGGATTGCTAAGGCACGGTTTTGCTGTCTCCCTGGAGCAGGAGGGCTTCACTCCGGCAGTACTTTGAACTTCAGCCATTTGCCGGATGTCTTTGCTCTGGCCATCAATGAACAGATCCCGGATGCAGCCCACGTAGCCATAGTTGAGCAGAGCAGTCCACACCTCAGTAGGGAAGACAAGGCCAGCTTTATTTTCTGGCAAGCCCCCAAGGTACAATTCATCATCCAGGTCCAGAATCTCACTCTCGCCAGGAGCCGTGTAGGGTGTGCGCAGGGTGTTGACAGAAATGGTACCTGTTACAAGACAAGAGAATACAGAGGTCTTTACAAAGCAGAACACCATCTAATTGTCACCTCTTCTCTTTCAGCTGCTGACAGTGAACTCCTGAGGGCAGACATTTTATATTATTCCTTCTATTCCCAGTGTCTGGTACTTTCAGGCAGAATTAAGACAATTACAAAATTAAGTAACTTTAGAAATAAAACAGACTGTACCTAAAATGGTCCCATGTGACTCTGATGAAAACCAAAGTGTACAGGCAAACGGTAGTATGTGTCAAATCTCTAACAGCTCACCTTTAAATAAACACACACATAAAGTAAATAAATTGTAATTCTTTGGAATAGTCTGACTCCCCATGGTTAGTGCTTGTTATCAAAGCTAATATGAATCTGCAAACCAAGGAAAACTTGTGTGTCCCCTGTCTTTAACTGATTTGATTATTTTGACTGGGCACAACAGCCTGACAGATTACCTGTTAGAACCCTATGTCCTCACTCCTAGCTGTATCTATCTATTGATTGTTCTGTATGGCATGGGTTTCCTTGTTCACAGTACAAGCATATAATATGACCTACCTCAGAGGACTGCACTGCATGCTAAATAAAATAAGCCAATATCTGGATTATAACAAGTACAGCGTAAATGTTCAGTATTACATTTCAGTCAAAGAATCAAGTAAAATCGCTTGCTTTTAAACCAAATTACTTATCTAAATTGGTAAGATTTCCTTTTCTTCACTCAAACATTTAGAAGAAAAATGTATTGGTTAATATGTATACAAGAACCTAGGACCTAAATATGAAACGAACAGGTATTCATCTGCATGGGAACATTTGAGGGTCACAGAAAAATGTGCAGTCTATGAAAAAAAGAAAGGGGAAAAAATGAAAGCACATTACTGATAAAAAGTTTACTGTCAGAATACAAAAAAAAAAAAAAATCCACTAGTATTCTAACTCCAGAAAGTCTTTTACAAAGAGGAAAATACTATAGTTATACAAATGGCTATAATAATTCAATACTACACTATTCCAGATTTATTTTTTGCATCTAAATCAGAGAGATAAAGAGAGAGATGGTCTGATGCCAAGCTGGGTTACTGGCACTGAACCAATGGGGGTTTAGGGAATAGACATAAGAGAGCCCTGCAGATAGAGATGGGATATACAAATGAGTGCAGGCAGAGCACTCCATTCCGTGTAGAGCAGGTGTGATTAGGAAGATGCATTTTAGTTGCTTCACAGGATACCTATGGTCTGCCTTGAGTGAAGACACATTTCTTAAGATGTCAGGTTGCTGGCTCCTACACCATGCCCAGGACTGTTCCAAATCACAGCAGAAGGGCATTTCTCGAGCTGGGCTGCATAACGGAATCTGTCTTTTCAAGGGAGAAGGAGAGAGATTGCCCATGCAGCCAAGTTATTAAGGGGACATTTGTCTCTCTAGACATTCACAGAAAGAAATGGAAAAAGTTCCCAGGGGGGAAGCACTCAATGGCATACTATTTTGGTCAACCATGGAAGGGAGTCTAGTAGGGATTTCTGAGGCAAGCAGTAAAAGGGAAAAGTGCAAAGTATTCTTTTGCACTGTCCACATTTGTGCAAGTGTCTAGAAGAAAACTCTTACTCAGAAACATAAAGGTTCCATAAAATCCTACTGGAAAAATATTAAAAATGTCACGGGTAAATAAAATAATAATACAGAGATTCATGGCCGTTCTTTTAAATGCAATGTGCAGTACATTCATTTTAAAGAATTGCTTCATGTGTAGTATTGTCCAAAATACCTAAGAAGTGAAATAACAGATGGTCCCTATCCACTGTAGCAGCTAATGAGCTTTATAAGATGATGAGAAAGAGTGAGTTTTAAAGACAAAAAGAGAAGTTAGATTCTTAACAAGCACATATTTCATTTGGAAAGTGAAAGACTACATGAAAGGAACACAGTGACCTATGTTTTTAAAATGTTATTGGATTACAATTAGTTCAAGAAGGCTTCCTAGAAGTGGTAGAAACTTTGAGGATTTGATTAAATAAATATATAGTGTTGAGAGGGATTGTTGTGAGACATAGAGCTTAGCAAGTGAACAATGACAAAAGAATTATAAGAGTGGGGATATATTTAAACATATTTTCCCCATAATTTCTACTTTATTTGTGAAACAAGCTTATTTCAGTTCAGGAAGGAAAAAAACATTTGGCAAAATGATATTATCTTTATTTAGAACATTGTAGTTTAGATACTAAGTGTGGAGGAATGCTGAAACATGGGAATTCACTGGCTAGCATATTTTGCTCTCTCATCTCCTCCATGTAGCTCAGTGCATCGTGTCTGCACTCTCAAGGCAAAGTTCATGCTAGGTATTTCGAACACTCATCCATGAATAGTTTGAAAATGAGGATGAAGAGACTGGGTCTCTTGGTTTTCATTTGTGGTATATTAGTGTCTACTTTTAGCAAAGCATCATAAAAAAGTTAATGTTCTTGTCGCCACAGTAAGATACTTCTTATAACTTTATCATTAGACTTTTTGCTGATAGGAATCCATAAAGTAAGACCATAGTTTTCATGTAGCTCATTGTACATGTAATAAACACAGAGAGAAACAAAAATTTAACAGAAAAATATTTAATTATACTGTCTCTAAGACACTCTGATATATTCCCTTTTATTATATTCATTTACTTAAAAAAATTCTAGACCATCAAGTGAATTTTGGAACTAACCAGAATTCAGAAAATATTGATGAAGAGGGAGTCATAACTTATAACTATCTTTCTCCCACAGTTCCTTATTTTCCCTTGTGAAACAATTGCAAAGTTCTCATGGCAGGAGCAGGCAATGAAATATGAGGAAGAAAAAAGGAATAAAATTTTAATTTCAACTCAAATATAATCCAAGAGGGGTTCAAACTTTAATTTAGTCCTGGCTTCAAAGTTAAGGAGAAACTTAGCAAATCTATATATCAGATTTGCTAGAATATTCTACAAACAAACAATAGAATAAAGAAAACATGACTGAAAAATCAAATACTGCTTTCTCTGTAGGCTTTGCCAGTGCATAAGCAATTATATCTTAGAAAATCTTTGTGAAAAGATGGTAAACAAATCAAAAAGGTGAAAGAATGAAAAAAATTGCTTTTATATTTTGAAGATTTACAAAGTGAAAAAATACAGAGTAAAATAACACCTAAATCTCATTTGAATCAACTTTTAATAGATAGCTGTATTTTAACCTATATGTGTGCAAATATCATGAATGATAAGAAATTAAAACCACAAATCTCCCCAATGATTTTGCTACGGATATGAATCAAAGGACATATTCACCTAACCAAAGAGTCATCACAGAATGAAAATTAATTGAAAACAATTTAACACACACATATGAGCCTAGTAAAATTTAAATATTAAGATTCCCAAGTGTTCATTTTATTATAATTGAGTTGTAAAGGTAGTGATTACAAAGAACACATCAAATGAATATTTAAACCTTATTCATTGATAATTAAAGACAACTAAGTCATAGATAGATAGATAGATAGATAATTATAATTTTCCAGTGGCTAAAGTAAATAAATTTTACAAATAAATCTGCAAGCGAAAATATTGTTGAGTCGTTCCTTTATCTATTTCCAAGAAACACAAATGTGTATATGTTCTCTTTGGAAAAGTTTGTACCTTTTACGCATTCTACCCCTTTCACTACAATTAAATTTGAGTTTCTCAGAAGCTAAATCAATTGTTATATTTAAGTTTTTAAAATTTGTGCATGGTAGTCATGTAAGGGGATTTATTTGGGGCAATACTTCATGTTTCAATTTAAGAATCCAAAGTACACTGCCATGTTACTTTTTTAAAGGAATACAATTGCAGTTACAAATGTCACATGTACATATTTTGTCATTTTAACATCCTAGACACCATATGGCATTATATTAACATTTAAACATGTTTTTGTGGCATAGACAAAATGATAACAAATTGATAAGTCTATAAGATAATATTCACATATGAATATCGAAAAGATTAAATAATTGATTCACTTCCAAGTAAAATTCTATATAGATGAGGGAAAAAACTGTTGAAAACAGTTCTTAGTCATAAAAGTGAAAATCAGAGAGATCCAATATGGCGACTGGGACACAGCCGCAGACCTCCTGAGCTCCATGAACCAGGAACTTTGCTGAGAGGCTGGAGACACACTTGGCTGAGGTAAAGCACCAGGGAGAGCTGAAACATTAGCACTCTGAACCCCTAGCTGGTGGAAGGCTTCTCCACACCATGATACACTAAAAGAATAGCCAGCACTGCACACCAAGCCCGCCCCATAGGCCCACAGAGCTGCTGCTCTGCAGGCCATGAGATCTCTGATCCTTGGGCTTGATCTTTGGGCCTGCTCCTCAGCCTTGCCAGGGCCATGCTTCCCCAAACTCCCACCCCTCAGACCCACAAGATCTCTGCTGGACTGAGCCACTAAGACCTGCCAAACTGGCAATACACACACACATGATCTCCAATGGGCTGTGCCCTCAGGCCTGCACAGGCCTGCGCGATCTCTGCTGGAAGCATGCCCTTAAAGCCTACCAAGCCGGCAATCCAAAGACATGCATGATCTCCACTCTGCCCTTCAGGCACACCAGACCCATGCTCCAAAGGCCTGCTAGTTCTCCTCAATGAAAGGCCTGCTCCCATAGACCTGTGGGACACCACCCACCTGTCACCCACCACAGGAGGGCTCCATACCTACTTAAGAGACACACAGAGACAGGTCTGGATGCTAAAGGAGTAACATCAGAGCAACTAAGACTGCAATTGTACTGTTCCAGAACTGGTGATTTTTTTTTCTTTTTTTCCCTTCTTCAAGGGTTTTGCTGCCCTGGTTTGCTATTTAATCACCTACCATATCTCTCATTTATTTTTTTTCCTCTCTTCTCTCTTCCTTTTATCTTTCCTTCTCTTTCTCATTTTTATCCTTCTCTCACAATTTTGTTAGTGTTAATATTGTAACTA